ATGGAATCACAGAATCGTGGGACCACAGAATCTTGGAATCATGGAATCACAGAGTCAGGGAATCACAGAATGATGGAATCACAGAATCATGGAATCATGGAATCACCCAATCATGGAATCATGGAACACAGAATCACGGAATCACAGAATCATGGAATTGCATGTTCATGGAATCACAGAGTCATGGAAAAATAGAATCACAGAATCACAGAATCGTGGAATCATGGAACCATGGAATCATGGAATCATGGAATCACACAATAATGGAATCACAGGATCATGGAATCATAGGATCATGGAATTACAGAATCACAAAATCATTACATCATGGAATCATAGAATCACAGAACCATAAAATCACAGAATCACGGAATCACAGACTCACAGAATCACAAAGCCAGGGAACACTAATTCCTGTGTTTGCTAAAATGTAGAAATATGAAAAGTTTTGATGCTTGGGGTGCTGGGTTTGTGGAATCCCACAAAAGCCAACTCATGAAATAAATAATCAACAATATATAAATTATTGATAATAAATAAACAATCATTAATAAAGAAATAATAATAAATAACCCACATCTCTCTTGAGTCATAACTATTGGCTTAAATTGGAAAAAAAAAATCCAATTTTTGTGGGCAGCAAAGGGGTTGGAATGTTCCTTAAACATCATCCAGTCCCAGCTCCCTCTTTGTTATTCCCAGATCTATTATCCATGACCATTTTCCCAAAACCTTTGGGAATCCTTCCCTTCCTTTTGCCCCAGCTGAAGTTTGGGTGGAGATGCCTGGTGTTCCCTCTTTAACTGCACCAAATGGTGCTGAGCCTTGGCAATTCCTTTGGTGGGAATGAGATCCCTTCTTGGATTTCTAACAGCTTTAATTAACCTGCTGATTAGTTATTTTAATTACTCAGAGATGCCACGTTAGGGCCTTAAATCCCCCTTTTTTTTAGCAAAAGGTTGTCGCGAGCTCCTCCTGTGGGAAACCAGCTTGGGAAAAGCACTAAAAGCTGGGAGTTTGGTTAAAAATGAACCTTGGTCTGCTTCGAGGAATGAAGATGAGGGAGAGGAAGGTGTGTGGTTGAACCTGGACATCTGGAACCCGGATTTGGGAAGGTGTGTGGTTGAACCTGGACATCTGGAACCCGGATT